GGGTACTAGAGGTTTCCAGCCCTGAGGAATTAGGAGCCTGTGAACGTGTGTGTTTGTTTCCCAAATCATCAGCTGAGGGTCACCACTATGTTTGCTGATGGGTGATGTCTGTCCACACCTTCACCACTGGCAGTAGTGATTAAAAGGAAAAGGAACCAGACCTATTGTTTGGAAGTTAGGGAGGCAGTGCTGGAAAACTTGGTGGTGCAAGGAGAGCAAGAGCATTCCTTCCTGGAGAGGCAGCTCTCCTTGCCATGGCTGACCATCCTCTCCATGCTGGCTGTGCTTTTGATGCAGCATTGTTGTAACCTAACCCTCACCTGGCCATTTCACAAGCAGGGCATGCTTTCTTTGTTCCTTTATAACCATTATGGGCTTTTAACCTTCCCATGCCCTTAGCATGCCTGTCCCAGACCTATCCTCCTTCTGTTTGTGCCCTCCCTCAGCAAGGTTATGAGTCATGGGAGCAGATGCTGGAGAAATGTGCACCTTCTGAGTGAGTGGCTGAGTGTGTAAAAGGGGGCAGAAAAGCTGCATGGAGACTTCTGCTTTCGGTGCTTTCCAAACATGTGGTCTCACTTCAATACATTTATTTGCCAGTCAGCTAATCCACTTCCCTCTAAATTTGGTTGTTTTGTCAGATTTTGTGGGGGTGATATTTATTGGAAGTTTTTTGGTCTCTGTAAACAAAATTGGATCTTTTTTATCCAAAATGAGTGTTTTTTTCTGCATGACTTGCTTAGAACTTCATACTGCTAAGTCTCAAAAAAGAATTTCAGTGAGTCACAAGTACTGCAGGATGGCATGATGCCCTTCACAGAAATAACAACTACAGATGTGTAAAAAAAAATTAGGATTTGAGAATCTGAAGTTCTTTGCAAAATCTGCAACACTTTTATTATCAGCATTGCTGATAGTACAAATGAGGCTGAAGTGACAGATAAGTGTTCTGGTCCAATGAATTCACCTACTGCTTATGATCCTTCCAGTTGTATTTTTAACTGTTTTGGCATTCCCCATTAAATCTCCCTAAACAGTCTTCTTGCTGGTTCAGTGCTCTCGACCAGGAAGCTTGTGAGTTTGTGAGGATTTGTACTTGATCATGAATGATTCATGAAATGAGCTTAGAAAACTAAGTTTAACATCTTATTCAATGCTGAGGAAAAAAAAGAGCATCTTCTCCCATACTCGTAACAACTTGGCTAAAAAGGAAGAGTCTCAATGTCTCATTTTAAACACTGAAATTCAGAGCATCTGTTGCCTTTCCAGCCAAACCTCATCTCTACTAAGAAGCAAGAGGAAGCATTTTAATTTACTCCTGTAGCTGGTTTTGTTTTTCATTCTGCTCATACGTCTGACCACGTCCCAGCCGCACGCACAGCCAGGCTATTGGGCACCACTGACAGCCAGGGCTGCCCATGTTGCCGTTTCTCGCTCCCATTTAACCATGTGCTGGATTTTTCTCTAAAAGATATGTCTGAAATCAGTTGATTTTGTTTATATTCTGCAACTGATTCTATATGCTCCTTAGGACAACAGAAAGCTTAAACCCCAGGGTGTTATATTCTTAGTGCCTCCCTCTCCTTCTCCTCCCCCTTGAGCTCTCAGTGCATGGCAGACAGAAGCGCCCCTTTCTGAAGGGTGTGCATGGCACTCAGAGCCTGGGAGCACACAGCACCATTTCCCTGCCCTACCTGTTCCATCCAGACCGTGTCTGAGGCTTGGTTTTCACGCCAGTGAAATGGGGATAATTGTGTTGCTTTGATGTGCTGATGAAAGTGCCTTGTGAGAGCTAAATATTTCTTTGTGGAACATGCCATGGTATGTTTGGAACCTCTGTGTAGCAAAGGGTAGGAAGACAGCAGAGACATGGATCTGATGATGAAAAAATCAGGACAAAACAGAGAAGGAGGTCCATGGTTATTCTCTTGCTCTCCTTTGTCTCCTATTCTAGATCTGCAGTAGGATTTTTTCCAACACAGCATACATCTAGGGACACCTGCTGAGAGAATAAAACACAATAAACATGAGCATGCTATGGTGAGAGACATATTTTTCTTGTACAATAGACATTTTGATCCAGAGTTACAGAAAGTTTAAACCCGTAAATTAAAATCAATTCAAATGCTTTTGTTATTCAACCTGAGGCTTTTTTTTTGTTGTATTTTGTGGGTTTTTTTAAGCTGGAAAAAATTTGATCTCATGGTTAATAGAATTATGAAAAAGAAGAAAGTACTTCTAAACAAGGTCTTCTAAGGTGTCCCCTGGGACTATGATTTGAAACTGGTCTTGCATTAATTGCAGTTTCTCTGGCTGTTTGTTAGGCCATTGCCATGCTGCGTTAAGGTCTCAATGCTTTTATCTAGCCCTCCCCTATTCCCTGTTTGTTCTTCAGCAAGGATGAGAGGAACCCTTACAGTATGCAAATACATAATGCTTTCTATGCTTCTTTCTTTAGAGACATAAAAGGATTTTTTAAAAAAGGCAAGTTGAATACATGGCAATAAAGACATAAATCTTCAGAAGCAGGCAAGCTACACTCCCTCTGCACTTCACAAATGAAGCATGGTTTTTGCAAAGAAAGAGTTTGTTAGGAGAACCAGAGGAAGCAGGATTTCCATAATGATTTGCAAGAAAAAATTCTGTAACACATGGCACCGTATTTCCTTCAGAACTGCAATCCCCTTGGGACCAAATTCTTTACTACTTAATCACTGCAGTAATTAGAGATGATGTTGGCAAGTGTTCATTGAACGTTGTGTCATTTTACATCTTAAAACATTTTGGCGTTACCATTTTCTTTATTCGGTGTGTTCTGGTCCATCCCCTGGATGATTAGACACAGCTGGCCTTTGCTTTGGGACCAGGTCAGTTTTGCAATTAAGAGCTGTGTTGGTCTGCACTGATAAAAAGAAGGACTAAATAGTTCTATTTATGGTTTCTAAATTACCTTTCCACCAAACATTTTTTATAATGACTTGTACACAAGAGACTTGATGTGAAACAAATCTGAGTGAAACAGAGGATTCCAGCCACAAAAAATGTCTCTGTCCTACAGCGAGCCTTCAAATGTGGAAAACTGCAGTACCAAAGTATGAATGAAGATCTCTCTGTAGATGGAGAATAATGTTGCAGCACCAAACCTGCATGCAGAATGTGGCTGTGATGATGAGGAGTGCTCAGGGGGTGTGGGCAGCAAGAGGCAGCCATCAGCAGCATCTGCCTCATGCTGCTCCTTCCCTCTCTGCTGCTCTGTACAGGCTGGCCAATGTGATGTCAAATGAGGAGAAAGGGAAAAGGGAAAGGGCTGTTCAACCCCTAAATCCATCAGTTGAAACTTCTGTTGGTAAGGTTGGGAGAACTTGTGCTTGAGGTATTAATAATACATCTGGAAATAGTGCAGCCTGACTTCTCTGCATTTCAGGTCTGTGCCTGTAGCTGTCACTTCCGAAAAGTAGGAAAGGTTTTTCTTGCAAGATATCATAATAGCTGAAAACTGCAGATGTACCTTTCAGTTTTCTAAAATCCAAGCATCATTAACTATGTTGAGTGGCATATCAAGGCAACAGTGCACGGTGGAAGGTCCCTGCACTACTCTTGCAGGCTCAGATTGTCCTTTTACACTCTAGATCTTAATCTTCATTTTTCAAAATGTTCATGTGTCTGTTACTTTTTTTAAACAAGCTTTGATGAGGCACTGGAGCCTTTCAAAGATTAAACGTGGAGGGTGCAGGAATGGCCTGGCTGTGATGCACACTTCTCTCAGGCCCTATGTGTTTGAACATCCTTTCAGCTGGGCAGGCATTGAAGTGCCCCCCATAATTGGGCTTGGTCTTGGATAAAGATTGTTTCCACTTTCAGCCTCATTTCATAGAGGCTGAAACAGAAAATTCATCAGACGTAAAGTTCAGCTTAAATGACAATTTGTGTGACTAATGACTTTCTAAAAGACAAGGTGGTAGATTATAATGTCTTTTGAAATGCTTTCAGAGGAGAAAAACACACAGTAAAAATTATATGACAAATATAAAAAAGGGAAAAGAAAACAAAGTTAGTAACAGAAGAAAGCACTAGCAGCCACTATGCTTTTAAATTATCTCTCCACAGCCTACAAATCTTTACTTTGACTCACGCATACCATACATCTAGCAAAGAGAGAAATAATATTTTTTATTGCCACTCAATTATAATTGATATACTACTGTATCATTTTAAAATGTGTGAAAGCTGAAAAGTACACACACAAAAATTTTAAATGGCAGGCAAAGAACAGCATAATAAAAGTGATAGAACTTTCTGAGGTAGTTTTACATACATGCCTTTCTCCCCTTATATGCATGTTCCAGGCAGACAAAAAGTACTAATAAAAATTGGTAATGCGTAATAGCTCAAAACCGATTAAAGAAAATTACCTCTCCTTTTAATTCTGCTTACAAGCCTTTTCTGCAATATTGATTATTTTTCAGAGGTAAGTGATAGTATCTATTCTTTCTGCAATTAATCTATATGTTCATTTTGCATGGTGGTTTTAGAAATCCTCTGACGTCCAGAATTAGGATACTGGTAACTCTAGAAAATGCTAGTTCTATGACAGTTTCTAAGAAAAAATCTGGCCAAAGGCTGATTGTGCTGCTACTGTGACAAAGACATCTATTAGTGCATTAGTTGTCTGATATACTAGAGGACAGGTTCTGGTATAATTTGAAACTAGAATTCAGGTTGCACCTGGCCAATTGCTTCCTTGTTCCACCACTAGCACTGAAAATTCCAGAGCTGTGGCTGTATGGCAAATAAATGACAAAACCACTGTTTATGATTTTGTTTGCTACTCTTAAATAATTCTGATGTTCCTTTTTTTCATCCATTTCAGAGCCTGTCACTTATGTATATCTTCCAAGAGATGATGCGAGTTTTGTGCTGAAAGTTGTATCTCACAGTCTTTATTATATTCATCACATATGCCAAACTGATACCAAAAGGGAGTATGTTTTCAAGCATTTTACGTAGACAATTCAAGCACTACTTTCTTTCCTGTTTTTCCAGATCAAATGCTCCTAAATCATCATGATGAAGAAGATATTATGGGATGCATCTTAAACAAAGTGCTGAACACAGTCTGAGTGACTGCAAGTTCAGGTACCTTGATAGTCCAAACAGGACTGTAAGATCACTTCCCAAATCTAGTGGCAATGGTACAATATAGACAAGTTTCTGTGTCTTACTTTACCTGGGTTTCAATTTTTTTTTAGTGCTTTTACATCCATTTAATGGATTAGTAACAACAGGATGTGCCATCCCTGCTGTTCATTCTGTCCAATATGACCAACCCTCCTTTTGTTTAAAAGAAACCTGAAAAGACTAAACTTGAGTGCTTACAGCTTGGCTCTGTCCTACAGCCCCTGTTACTGGGCAAACTGTGCATTGAGCAGCCTTTTGCAACCTTGGGGACACAGCCTTTGTCCCAGGTTTGCTCCCTCCTGATTTCCCCAGGAGCCAGGATCCAGATGAATCCTAGAGGCAAGCCCAGTCCTTGCCTCTAGGAAGAAGAGCAGACTCTACTGTCTCCAGTGTTCTTGCTTTTTTTTTTTTTTTTTTTAATAAGAATCTCCTCATAACACTTGAAGGCTGAGTTATAATCAGCCTGGAAAGATAAATGGCAGAAATACAGCTGACCTCACCAGGTTTTCTGCTTTTCAGCTCAGGATGCAGTTTGTTACTAGCTATGGGAAAACAAAGCGAACCAAGATACATCCTTTCCTCATTGACATACATGACCTTTTTTCTCTTCTGAGGCTCAAGACACCCTGCTCCAGGCCTCCCCAAAAAGAATTGTGTTCTATAGCAATGATAATTATAAACTGGCCTCTGCTTTTGGTCACTTTAAATCCACATGGTATTTTAGACACTATTCTTTGTGCTGTCAGGCATACAGGAATTCTACCATGCTGCAAAAACCCCCCATACACTGTAAAAATGAGCTTCACTTTTTAAGTCATGTCACAGTAAATTGCCTTTGAGTGCACTATAAAAATCTGTTATACTTTCTAGGAGAAAAATTTTCTGTTCTATATTTTAAATTTCTATCTGTTTCTTCAGAAGATAGAAAATCTGTAAAATTTGAAATTGTTTGTCTATAAAAGCAGTATATTCAGAAATGCTCTTCGCATTTTACATTAAGTTATAAATTACAACAGTGCCACAATTTCCAGATGTGTTTTATATAAATATGGATTAAGATAAATGTAGCAGGTTGAGCTAAAATTACCAATCCAAATTCCAATGCTTTTGATTATTCAGTTTCTGGATAAGAGTTTAAGTGATGTATCCTTTAAAGAGGTATATCCTGAAATGAGGGATGCATATGCCTTCCAACCAGGAGACCAAGCACAGCACAGGTGAAAATCAGTAGCAATTGTGCAGTGGGTTCTGTCTAGGTAAGAGTTATTTATATCCCCATCTTACTGTCACAAGGAGTGCCCCTCTGCCTGGGAACCTTAGCAGAGAGGTCACGGGCTCCAGGCAGAGGTAGACTGAGTTTCCTTCTCAGGCTTTGATGGACTTTATCAGGGCTGTCTCTGTTACCATAGTTTCCATTTTGTTCTCCAGATAAGAAATGGAAATGTGTAGTTCACAGAGGCCTTGATCAGTTGGTTGACATAGGGTCCCTGCCTGTGGTGAGGTTTAAGGGAATGAGAAGTAACTATGCAGAGTCATAAAAAAATCAGTCTTTTCTTTCTTCCTTCCCCCTTTTCTTTCCTTGTTTGCTTGCTTTTAGCCATATCTCTGTTCACAGAAACTTGGTGGGACATCTGAATCACCAGCTAGGTAAAAGGGTATCTTCACACAGTTTACAAGAAGCATTGTCTAATGATTGTGCATTTCAGAAACTCAGCTGTTGTGTGCCCTTTAGTGAGTTTTTTCAGCTCCACCCCTTTTGACTATGGACATTTTATTGGGAGTCCTACTCACATCACTCTTTTTGTACCTCTGTTCCCCTTCTGTTCTTGGGCTTCCTGCACTTGCAGGCTCAGTTTGAAATTTCAGAGCAGCAAGGACAGTGTCTGTACTGAAGCACTGAGAAGTTACAAAAGCAGTGGCTGCAGTTAACCACCACTAATAATACCTCTGTCACAGAAATAATCATTGCCTTCAAATGTCCTCTCCCTCCCTAAAATCTCAGGGAAGAACCGTGTTCCTTCCAGCACAAGAAAGGCTACATGAAGGTTAGGGACAAGCCTCCACTGCCCATTACTCTCCCTATTTTACTGTCAGTGGAAATTTCAGATCACTTTATTCCCATGCCAGTATCATTCCCCCTACCTTTTTCATCTCTGGGCAGTAGCCAGGACTTTGGAGTTAATGCAAGTATTGTTGTGCAGTACCAGTATTCTCTGTCAGTGCTCCTTTTACCTTAATAAATAGATACTATCTGCAAGTGAAGGAAGGCAGTATGTGTTTTCTTTTAATTTATTTTGCAGGCTCTGTTAAAAGGTAGGGAACTCATTATGTTCCAGCCAGACAGGAAGTTTTATTTACAATTTCTTACCTCAGTGCAGCTGTGGCAAATTATATCAGCCCTTCAATTCGTGCATTATCATTACTTCCTCACTTTCATACCCTTTCTGGAATTACACTACCACTGACCTGATGAACCCATTTTCTTTTAAAATCACTCCTATTTTATGTTTAGAGATTGCTTGGGAAAACTCAACAGCAGTAGCTAAAAGAGCAGGCAAGATGGCTGTGTATAATCAAAAGGTCAGTCTATTTTCAGGTACTTCTTCAGGGCTACTGCTGAAGAAAGCATGGAGCCATCTGCACCCATACAGGTATCAGGAGTTTGTTCTCGCACACAGCAGAAAAGGCAAAGCCCAGGAAAACAGCCACGGGCTCCCCTGATACCTCCTGTTTGATCCTGCAGGCTGCAGGTGCCTGAGAAAATACTCATCCCAGGCCACTACAATTCACCTCCCACCTGCCCAGAACAGTGACTCACTTGTGCTGTTGCTTTGAAGGAAGGGATCTGTTTCCCATGCACTGACAGCAGGACTCACAGATGGAGCTGAACTGGATGGGTGGCAGTATGATAGGGATCCATGGCTCTTTGGGGGTTATTTACCTCTTCTGCAGAGTTAAAAACTTCTGCAGTTTATCCATCTGTTCACCTATCCCTGCTGACTACATCATCATGGAACTATAATCCCAACCTCCAATTCTGTATTTGTGGGCTACACCTATAGACTAGAGCTCCTTAGCCTACCTAAAAAACACCTGTTTTAACACCTATGCTTTAACACCATAGATACTGAACCTCCAGTTCTCCTCCTGATCAAGGCAGCGTAGCAGGACAAAAAGCTCTGTCTTCTCTTGGATTTGCATTAGCTTTCCCTTCCAGCTCAAGTCCCTCTTTGGCTCCCTGCATCCCCATCTCCATTGTGCATTTTGTTCTCCTATAACACAGTAATTAATATGCTAAATTATTAAAGAATATACTAAAGAAATGTACTCTTTCATTGAGTAAACTCTGAATTGCTGCTGCTCAGTTTGCTGTGAGTTGTGAATTTGCTCTGAGTTATTTTTACCACTGAGAATTGCCAGGCTTTATAGTATGCTTTGCACAGGAACTCAGTTGCCCTTTCACTGCTGTGTTTGTAGTTCTTGTTCCAAGGAAGCTGCCTGCTGTTCCCAGGTTTCCCTTTCTTTCTCACTCTTAGTATCCTGTTTAAATACAAGAAATGCAAATAAATGATTTAAATTCTGTATTTTGCAGGGAAACTTCCTGCTGAGACTTCACTTAGACCAACTGATATCTTCTGCCTGCCTGGAGAAAACCTTTGTCCTCGAGCCTGAAGGCACTTAAAAGTAAGCCTGTTTGGTCTGCCCCTATTAACCAGCAGTACTGAGAGAGAAAATCGCTTTTCCCTAGTGTTCAGCACTTGAGAGCCACAGGATTGAGACTGTTTATTCAGACTGCTTGGTTCTTTGGTATCATCCAATGGGACAGGCTGAGTCACTACTTGACTGATTTCTCTTCACGTGAAGGTTTCAGCACCTTTGCACTGCTGTGAATCCCAAGCAATGATCCTGGTTTGTCCTGACAGCAACCCCCATGCTTCATTGGACTTCCTGGACTGGTGGTCAGAGAAGCTACTCCCCTGGGCTCTGAACTCCTCTGCTTGAGATGATGGGGGAAGGCATCAGCACAGCTGCCAGATGGCACCACCTGGGAGATTTTATGTTACTTTTTGTACTGCCTTTTCTCAACAGGCAAGCCCTTGGGGCAGATAAGGATGCATTAAGTGACTGAAAGACATGCAGTTGTCTCCTAAAAGGTGTCAGTTCAGTATTACTGTATACGAGAGACAATTGTTCTATTTCTGTCCATAGTCTGAAATAATTTTCATTTGGATTGCTGAAGGTCCTTCTTTGCTGAATGGGACCTTTGTGTAATGCTAAAAGGAATAATCTGTTTAATGTTCTGTTTCCCAGCCCTTTGTCTTTCTTTCACCCAAGATAACTTTCAGCATGTTCATGAGTTTTTCATTTGAATGAAATTTTGCTCTAGCTGTGGGCAGAATATAGAAAAAAATCAATAGCTATTAAGATACGTGATACTGCAGGATCTGGGATCCTACTGGTAGAAAAAGCAAGGACCATTTATTTATTCACATACCCAAGTGCCTGCACTTCATAATCTGACCTCACTGCCCAGGTCCTGCTCTTCCCCCAGGTTTTCAGTGGGGTTTTTTGTTGCCAAATGCTGAGCAGAGGATATTTTGCCCATTGCATTCTGCTGTGTTCTGTGCTAGTTTCTTGTGAAAGTGCCTTCAGGTATTTTCCCAGGGCTCACATTTATTTGTTCAAGAACAAGTTAAGAAAGAAGAGTGACTGGAGGTTTTAAAACCCATTTTCTTTTTATCTAGTGTTCTGTTAAAGCTTTTCTCCTAAGCAGCTTACAATAATATAAACAACCTGCAGAAAAAACTTCCTGTCAATCTACTGCTATAAATTCCTACAAGTCCAGGGGCTTCAGGAGCTGTATATTGCACTGAGAGCCCTTGGAGTCAGAGATAACTATCAGATAATTCACTCCTCTAAAAAATACTGCCCTATATTCAGAGTGAGTGGAGAGCAGGAGGGGGGAAGAGAAGATGGGAGGGGGTGTGGAGGGGCAGGAGTGGGGTACCAGGTGTGTGGGGCAAGCATGGGGAGCAAAGGGACCCACGGGTGCAGCAGCTGAGCAAGTGCTTGTCTCTCCCAGTGCCGCTGGCTGTTGCTTTACCAGGCTCCTCGGCTGCACACCTTCTGATTGGCATAAAACACACTTTTCTTTCCTCCAGCTTGTGTGGGTGCAGCACAGGATTCAGCCCCTGGGGCTGCTTTAGCACAGAGAGCAGCCATAGCTCTGTGCTGCTTTGGCTTTGGAGGGGCTCGGGAATAACGAGCAAAATCTAATTAAGAAGAGTGAAATACAGTAGGGTAAGTCAGCTGCATTGGAGTGTGAAATGGAGCCATTATAAAACAAAACACTGCACAGCAGCATTACAGGGTGCTGACAGACTTCCCTGGCACCCGAGCAGGAATGCAGCGGTGGGAGCTGGTGATTGTCAGGCTGCCACTGCCATGGCAGCTCAGCCCCTTCTCCAAGGGGCAGCAGGAGAGGGGATGTGCCAGGCAGCACAAACATGGCCTGGCCAGGCTGGCACAGGAGGGACGGGAAAGGGCGCTGAGAGAGAGCACCAGGGCGACCGAAAGAGCCTGAAGGGCAGGGGGGGAGCAGAAAATGAGAAACTCTGCAGCTATTAGAGCATGGCTTTCCCCTCTGAACCACTGGCAATGGCTGTGAGAGCTGCCCTGCCTGCTCTGCCCTGCCCTGCCCTTCCCTGCCCTGCTCTGCCCTGCCCTGCCCTGCCCTGCTCTGCCCTGCCCTGTCCTGCCCTGCTCTGCTCTGCTCTGCCCTGCCCTGCCCTGCTCTGCCCTGCCCTGCCCTGCCCTCCCCTCCCCTGTCCTGCCCTGTCCTGCCCTCCCCTGCCCTGCCCTGCCCTCCCCTCCCCTGCCCTGCCCTGCCCTCCCCTGCCCACAGGGTGCCACGCTGAGTGCGGACATGGGCCACCACTCTGCTCTGGGAGGGATTCAGCAGCTCCACGTGTGCACAAATTTGCCTCTTTGGTGACAACTTTTTTAAAAAAAATTCTAAACAATACCCTCGCACAAATACACATGCTTTTTGAGTTGGCAGTGTTCTAAGATCAACAAGTAAACCTTTAAAATACACAAGTTCTTCTTGTTCTCCATGATGCTAGAATTTACGAAATTATAGGATTAGCTCTATTATTTGAATTGAATTTTTTTAAAAAATGAAAAAAAATTATTTTGTTGAAAAAATGTCTTTTGAAACAGGAAGGAATGGTTTCAGTACCCTTAAAGTATTTTTAATAGTAATTGCTTACAGTTGCTTCTCTCTAAAAGATGGAGAAAGGGCATCTTGAATGCATTACAGTAAGTTCAGCCCAAGTCAATCTGCTTTCAAGTATGCTATAAAGGATATCCACAGTAATAGGATTACTACAAAGAGAACTTGTCTTTGTATTTAAAATCCTAAGGTTAATTTGTCTTAGTTCCATCCCTCCAACAAATTTTGTAACAAATTTCTATTGCCAGTCATTACTTAATGATGTTTCATTGTTAAATGCTCACAAGAAATATCTAACACCTGCTGGGAAAAATTATCCGTAAAGGTTATCTCAGTAAGGCATGGATGTAAAATGTCAAAGGACAACTTCATCTCTTTCTCCCTCTTTATCCCCCACCCTTTCAACAGGCAGGAAACCCAGGGGAATGTTTGCAGGCAGGAACCTGCTTCCTTCCAGCCTCTCTTCTCCCTCAAGAGAGCCTTGAGATGTACTTACTTAAGCTGTCAGGGTGTCCAAAGTTAGAAAACTGAAGGCAGAGGAAATTAATAATTTACTAAAGTTTTGCTCGAGGACAGCAGACCACACCACCAAGTGACCACCAGCCACTGTCACCTGAAGGACAACTGAACAATGAGGCCAAGAGGCACCTCCTGACTGTGTGGAGGGGAGCAGCATCCAGGGACTCTGCTGCCACAGGGGCACAGGAACACAGGTAATTACCCCTGGCTTCAGAATAACAACTTGTTGGCTTCATTCCCTTTTTCTTATAGTTTCAGCACTCTGTTATTCACCTGGTCTGGAAAAATGTTGCTAAATACTTCACTTTGTGATCCCCACAAACCCCACTGTATTTATTGCACTGACTTCTGTCTCAGTGGCAGGGTTTCCAATCCTGCCCCCCAAAACCAAGATACTGCACACCTACTGAAAGATTCAGATTCAAATAGTGAATTTTTTTTTCCTGACACATTTAGATTTTGGGGGACTTTTTGTGTTTGATAACTGCTGGTATTTGTGAATGCACTTGTTAATGTAGGTGGTAGAACTATGCAGGAGATCAAAGCTGCTCGCAGAAAAGTCTTTGCAGGATCAGTTTTATGTTAAACCCCACATTTCTCCAAGCACCAAGAAAGGAAGTATTTTTGCTTCTGAGGTCAACATTCATTCTCCAGAATAGTCTAGGTGTTTGCTGTTAATCATCTCTGGTACTAACCATCTGTGGCCTGTTTCTAGGCTGGGGAACCAGCAGCAGCCATTATGAGCAAGCCTGGCTGCAGTCTTTTGCTTTGTGTGCTGGTTTTGCCTGGGGTATAGAAAATCTTCATCTTACTTCCATGAAGCCAGCAGTCTAAAGTTTGATGTATTCTGTATTTTGCAGTGCTGTTTTTGAACTGTGTCTCTCTTGCACCTTAGATCAGGAACTCCTGAAAGATGAGTGCTCTTTGTCAATCCTACTCAGTGGTTTTGTGCAACTGTAGAGTTCCTTCACATAGTTGATCATGCTGGCACTTCGTTATGAGTGCTAGTGAGGAATCACAACTGGCCATGCAGCTTTGCAGTGCAAACTGATTAAAACAGCAGTGTCCTGGAAAACAGGGGATCTGAGAGTCTGATGAAGGTCTGGGATTTGTGACTGCAGAGATTTTTCATTGGTAAATGCAACCCGTGGTGGGAGACACATTGTTCAAGGTCAGAACTTCAGCATTTTTGTCTTCTTTGTTCCTGGTTTTACCTTTTCTGTTATTTGGGTTTCTCATATTTGTTTACTTTGTCTCCTGTAGCCAATGAACAGAACAAATGTCTGATTATCAGAGGTCTGATCACATTCAGTGTTACAGTCAGTGCTCTCTGTTCTTCCTCTTGAGTATACTGTGCTGTGTATTGATGGAACTGGGTAAAATACCTCTTGTGTATCTCTTGGAATCAGCCCAAGGCAGTTTTGCCAACGCAGTGTCTCTGTCAGTACCATCTTTCCTATCTTGATGTTTCTGTGACAAGATATTTTTTTTCGCCTACACAGTATCTTGATAATGGGGTTTATTGCCTCTACCTGATAGAGTCATTTTGTACCTATATCAAAGAATTTTGAAGAAAGCAAGTCTTTACAACCCCCCAGAAAACCTGTCCAGGTAAAGTTTGATGTGTGACACATGCATGCATGTTCCCATTCATTGTGGTTTTAGATAAGTGTGTTCATGATGGGTAACAAAAGCATAGAAATACCTTGGGAGTATGAAGGACTGTTTCTGTTCCTTAAGCCTTGATAACATGTTGACATCCTTAGTGAAACTACAGAAAGGTCAATATCCTTTGCTGTCTTTTCCAGTGACATGTTTTGGAATATTTTTATTTTTGTTCACATGCCCTCTGTGTTCTTAGGTGAATACAGTTGTAGCTCTCTCTTATGGACAGCTCCTCTCTGTTTTGTGCTGTGTCATAGAGATATAGATATCTGACAGCTGCAAAACATGCCTCAGAAAATTCACTGAATCCTGGTGGTGTGACAAGCAAAAACCCTTGAAAATCCCCACTGCTTTTGTAACTGCATAGCAGGAAACCCCTGATGTTGGGTTCATAAAGGATGGCTTTGCAGGACTATGGGAAAATTCTCACTGTGGTCTTGGAGGTTTTTTAAAAAATCTCTGCTATTATTTATGTAACAAAGTTTGCATCTCTTTTCAAGTTCATGACCTTGCCAACATAAATGCATACAAAACTTCATCACTGGGTTGATACATTTTTTGTATTTTTTTTCCTTGAACAGTCATTTTCCCCTGCATCCTTACCCCTTATGCCAGTCTCCTCTGCTTCTTTTTTATGCAATATGTGAAAGCATTGGCTCCAGCTGTTCTGTTGTTTGGAAAGACCTCAACACAGCTGGTGATTGTAGAGAGAAATGTTGTTTAATGGGCACCAAAGGACCTGATGGCTGCTAGCAGAGTCCTGGTCAGTGGGCAGCACTGCTGCCACCCTGCTGGGACAGGCCACGTGCCAGGCTCCTCTCTGGCTGTGCTGCAGGGCACAGCTCTGGCACAGGGCACCAGTGCCTGCTGCCACCCCTCAGCTCTTCCCA